ACCCCTCTGCTGGACCCACCCAGCTGGGTCCTCTTCCCCTCGTGCTCAGCCTGCAGCTCAACCTCCAGCTCATGTGTCACTGCCCAACGACATTTCCTCTGCCCTCTGGCCATGGGAGTGGGTGGGACCTTCATGACACCCTGTCTCTTCCTTGAAAACACTTAAGTAGCTTGTGATTCCATGTCGATTAAGTGGTTATTTGATCCATGTTTGGCTTCTTTATAAGCTCTTTGAGGGCAAGGCCTCTAGGCCTCATACTGACCACCTGCCCCCATCCCTGGGGCAGCAGGTGACCCATGGAACATGGCTCAACAAATTACTTTGAGTGAAAACAAAGGCATTGAGTGTGGTGACCCCAGAGTTCTCCCATTCCAGCCAACTTTGGTCCATCTGTGAGAAGCCTGTGCCTGCCACCCAGTGCTAAGCCCAGACCACCCCTGTTCAGTGATCCTCAGCATCACTCCCTTTGGAGCTGCAATCAGGTCTCCTGGTCATTTCTGTTGCTTTCCCACAGCTTGGTAGGCACCATTGAATCTGAATAGTTGGGATGTAAATGTGCCTTTGTAGCTGCCAGCCAAGAAGCTCTAGGTCCACTCTGAATGATCAAATCAAACAACATCAGCAGAGACCTCTGAGTTGGGGTCTTGAGTGCTTTCTCCACCCACCCCAACCCTCCCCTTTATGCCAGGTGACCTGGGTCTGCTTCAGACACACCTGCATATGCAGTTCAGCCCCCAGGTCTCATGGTCCTCTTTTCTGGGATCTGACTCATGGAGTCATAGCCACCCCCCAACCTGCCATCACTCCTAGGGCTCCCACAAACCATCTCCTCACTGGAGCATGGCTGGACAAGAGGCTCCTGACCTGATGAATCAGAAGAGCCTGCTCTGGCCTCAGTCACTCATCATCGTGGGCCAAGCATCACCTATAGCCAACACCTCCAGGCCAGTGTCAACATGGTCTTGAAGGAAGACGCTGTGGCTGGTTTCCATAATCAATGGCTCCTCTCAATCTTCTAAGGGAAAATACCATGCTTTGCATACTCAGACCCTCTACATCTTCCCTAAGCTGGAAGTCTGAAGTTGTCCTCAGCAGGAATGCAGACAGTGGGCTGGGCCTCACGACAGCGTGGAAGAAGAGGAAAGGCAGTGCATGCAGCTCAGCTTCTTCTCCATCCTCACCTGAGCCCAGCATCCAGTGAAGCTGCTCGTTAGAGTCCCGTCTCCCTGGAAAGCTGGCAGCTGGGCTTCCTGGGGTGGGGGTGGGGGTGGGCGGTTCATCCCTCACGAGGAGGCCACCCACACAAACTGCAAATGAGAGACTGGACTCCCAGGTTGTATGTTGTGTGCCAGATGGAGCTGTCTGCTCCACATTCCTGCTGTCCCCGTAAGTCCACGTGTGTCTGTCAGGTCTCACGTCCTGATTTAGGGCCAAGAGCACATACTCACCATGGGTGTGGCCCGTAGTGACGTCATGTGATCGTGTCCATGGGGCCCTTCGTGGTCTCGTGTCCTCGAGGTGCTTTCCAGGCTTGTCTGGACCCATGCCTCCTCAGGGACCCTGCTCACTGGCCCATCCAAGGAAGGCACTGGGGTGCAGAGATGTCGCTGAGTTTTCCAGGTTGGATTGGGAGTGGGAGGAGCCTGTTGTGAAGATAGCTATGAGCTGGTTCCTAGGAGAAGCTGTTCAGACTCAGGTCTTGAGAGCCAGTTATGTGCAGAGGTGCTGCAGAGAGGGGCACTGAGAGAGGGGCCTTGGTGGCACCTGTACACCCCATCCTGGCTGCTGCCGGTGGTGGGATGGAGGTCAGGGGCTTGAAGCCTTTGCTAGTCTGGCCTCAGAGGCAGTGGGGCCCCCTGGAAGCAGCATGAGGCCCCCGCCTTCCCAGAAGATGTCACGAGCGTGTGCTATTGCTTCACAGATGCGGGTCTTTGACGCTGAAGGGCATGGGCCAGGGCACATGGAGGCACTAGGCCCAGTCGTGCAGCCCCTGGCCTAGAGTCAGGCCACCAGCACTGAGCCCTGTGCCTCTCCACCAGCTGTGATGCTTAACCTCTCTGGAACTCACTCTTCTCCTCTGTAAGATATAGTTACTGACAGTACCTACTTCCCTGGTTGTGCCAGGAAAGGGGTTGACCTTCCCTGGTTGACCAGGTTGGGGTCATCTTCCTGCCCCAGCAAGTCTTCGTTCCACGTCGATGAGGGCTGGGAGTTTCGGTACCCTAGAGTCACTCTTCATCCACTGGCTGAATCCCCGCCAAGGCTCCTCCTCCATGAGCTCATCTAGTCACTGCTTGCATCCCTCTGGGGATGGGAGGCTCTCTGCCTCTCGGAGCATCCCGCTCCACCTTAGGTCTGTTTCTTGGACAGTCTATTTGTGTTGACTTCCTGGTTGGCCCTGGCTCCATTCCTGTGGTCATGCTGAATTCCACCACTTTCCTTCTTCAGAACAGCAGGTTAAATCCTGTGAAGGTCATGGACAGCCCCCTCTGTGCCTGTGTGCTTCCCACTCCATGGGTCTCGTCTTTTCCCAATGACACCCCTCGATGTCTCCGGGAGATACTTGAATGAATGGCATGACTTCTGAAAGCAGCCTGTGCACTGAGTCCCTGCTGCATGCCGAGGAGCACAGATGAGAGGACGGGCGGCTGGGGCTGTGCATCAGGCAGGGAGCAGCGTCCACGGGGGGAAGAACACGTGCTGACATGGGGAGGCTGCAGCTGGAGAGTGCGGTGTGGGCCGGAGTCAGGGGCCATCAGCTGGAGAACGTGGGTGACAGCGCATCAGAAGACACTTTGCGTGTGTGCTTTGGAACAAGCATCCCAGCTGCAACGTGGAGACAGCAAGCTGAGTGACCAATCCAGCAGCCACAGTGTCCAATATGCACCCCAAAAGGCTGGGAGTGCCTCCCTCTGGGGGTGGGACCACAAACGAGTTATTTTTTCTTCCCCCTTCCTTTTGTTTTCTCATTTCTCTATAATAAGCATTTCCCATTTCCTTCATGATGAACATGGATTATTTATGTAGTAACAGTTACTTACACTTGTCTAAAGTCCTGCAAAAGTGAACTGGCAGGACTTGGTATGGTTGGAGGCCCAGGTCTGATCTTGGTGCTTGGGGAGGGGAGTGCCCACCACCTTGACAGGGATGGGTGGGAGCATAGCATTGGTCAGGAATTCTATGGCCCCAACGGTGGCCAGAAGAATAGGCGTGACTTCTTCTAGGCACCTTCACAGCCAGGCCTGCAGGCCCTGGGGGCTCGCCTGTCCATTTGCAGAGTTCCCAGTTCCAGACTTGGTGACAGCAAAGCCCCCAGAGCTTGGTGATGGCAGCAGCAGCCTGTGCTTGGCTGTCTTAGGCCACATGTGCTCAGCATTGAGCAAAGTCTCAGCAAAAAAAGGGCCAGGGGCCCACAGTCCCCATGTTCACAAAGCTCAGCCCAAAGTGGGAGGTGGGTATAAACGTTTAAAAGCCACTTAATGAACATGTGACTGCAAATGGAGACTCAGCTCCGAAGGAAAGCAGTAGTTTCCAACAAGACCCAGAAGAAAGGAGGTGTCTCCCGGGGTGGGGCAGGTGGGGGGCAGGGGAGGGAGGTGGGCCTTGGGCAGAGAGCAGAAGGATAAGCTGAGGGAGTTATTGGAAAGTGTCCTGGCCGAGGGAACAGCACAGACAATGGTCCTGGGGCGGGAGGAAGGATGGCAGGTCTGAGTCTGAAAGAAGCACTGTTGGATCAGGAGTCCAGAGAGGGAGGGGCCTTTTATGGCAGGAGGACCCTCCCCATCCTGTGTCCCCCTATTCTCTGCCACATTCCCCTCGTGGCCTGAACAGCCTCCTCCGGGGATGCCCCCAGCAGTCACCCCAAAAGCCAGCGTGCAGCTCGGCTGTCAGCTTCCTCCAAGGCTCTGCACACCTGGCTGCTAATTAACAGAATCACTCAGATCAGAAAGCATCATGTTCTACTGGGAGGCTGCGAAGCCCTCTCATTAATTCGCAGGTGAAATTATTCTGGCTTTTCTCTTGTTTTGCTTCCTCTCCCCAGCTCACTTAATGGCTGGGGTGAGTCCTCCCAATTAGACTTGTGAACCCCTCTCCTCCAGATCATGAAGCCTCAGGGACCCCCTCAGGGCACAGGGAGGGAGTGCCCAGCCTTCGGGCACCAGTGCCAAGGGCAGTGGGGGCAGAGGGGTGACACCCCCAGTGCAGGAGAGGAGGGAGGTGGCCCCCGGCTGGTGGGTGGGTCTGAGACTAACAGTGCCCCGCGGGGGTGACTCAGAGGTGGGGGTCCTGACGTCTGTGTGACCCTCCACACAACCAGCCTGGATGAGAGGCAGGGAGCCAGCCCTTCCCCCACTTCTGTCCTGGATGTGGAGATGGTGTCCCCCTGTTGACAGAAGGCCTCCTGGGACCTGGGGGAGGTCTGGGGGGCTTACCGGCAACCACCATTTACAAATGAACATGTGCAGCCTCTTCTTTGAACGAGAAACTTTCAGGGATGATATTTACGGTTCAGCTTATAATCAAGGGGTCCTTCTCCCTGTAAGACAGCAGCATAGGCCTGAAACCCCTGGGTGCTGACAAGACCTGTTGTGAAAGAAGCTTTTTACTTACTCTTTTTTCTCTGAAAGGATCAGGGGACTTCAGAACCCATTCATTGAGGTGACACATGCCAACCAGAACTCCCCCTCTAACCACGCTGAAGTACGCTAAGACAACTCCACCTCTATCGCTAGGATCGCTCTCCTCCTCCCCAGCTGAGAGGCCCTTAGAAGGACAGTGTCTGCCTGTCCTGCCATTTGGATGTGGCTCCTGGGGAGGTTTGCAGTCAGGCCCACCTGGATCCACTCCCGCACCCCACCAGGCGTCACTCTGACTGTGCAACCTGGAGCCTCGGTTTCCTCACCTGAAACTGGGCGGCAAGACCCTCACGGGAGGCCAGGCTGAGCAAATGGCATGAGCTTCAGGCAGCGGGGTTGATAGCATGAGCTTTGTCGTTGCAGGTCTCCAGGTGGTCCTGAACTCCATCATCAAGGCCATGGTGCCCCTGCTGCACATCGCCCTGCTCGTGCTCTTTGTCATCATCATCTACGCCATCATCGGCCTGGAGCTCTTCATGGGCAAGATGCACAAGACCTGCTACAACCAGGAGGGCATTGCAGGTAAGGGAGGCACCATCCCTCCAGGCCGCTGGGGAGCCCTGCCTTCTGGCATCCACGTTTCCTCTGCCAAGAGAGGCAGGGATTTTATTTTCTCTCTGGGGTCTAACTTCTGTGTTTACTAAAATGAGTCTCTGTTAAAATAGCTAAACGTAAGCTTTGTCCAGCACTGCCCTGTGTGTGTGTGTGTGTGTGTGTGTGTGTGTTAGTCACTTCAGTCGTGTCCTACTCTTTGAGAACCCATGGACTGAAGCCCACCAGGCTCCTCTGTCCATGGACTTCTCCAGGCAAGAATACTGGAGTGACTAGCCATTTCCTTCTCCAAGGCATCTTCCGAACCCAGGGATCGAACCCATGTCTCCTGCACTGCAGGCAGATTCTTTACCATCTGAGCCACCAGGGAAGCCCTGTCTGGCACTGATAAGCACTCTCTAAACAAGGCGCTTAGCCAATGCTGAATTTTTTAAGAATCAGGGCTTAGTTGGTGATTCTGTCCTTGCCCCTCATGTGGCTCATCATCAACTGTGCCTTTGGGAGGAAGCCCCGCCCTCAGGAGGAAGCCCCACCCTCGGGAGGAAGCCCCGCCCTCAGCCAGTAGGCTCACAACCTTGCATCCTTCTCACCTCTGGGGTGACCTGGCTCCTCTGCCTCAGTGTTTCTACCTCCCGTCCGGGGGCCCCCAGTCCAGGTGAGGAGGACGGCCTGTGACAAGACTCCTTTCCTCCGGGAGGTGTGGCTCTCCACGTCCCTCCCATAAGCCAGTGTGTTTAACCAGCCGTACTGCTCACTGAGTTCACCCCTGTTTGGACTGAAGTTTGGGCTTGACAGACACTCCACAGACTGCTGTCTTTAGCTCCTAACATCTCAGCTGGACTTTAAAATTAAAAAAACGTTTAAATAGAAATAGACAAGGCTTTTAAACAGACAAAGTAGTTTAGCACAAAAGATTATTTAAAACAATATACTCTGCAAAGGAGTGAGCCCATGTTCGATATGTGTGACTTTTTTCAAACAAGATCTTCCGTCTTAGTTTTTTGGCGTCTTGGGAAAGAAAGGGGAGCATCCTCTGAAGCCTTGAAGGACCCTCTGTCCCCTCCATGTCCATCACTTCTCACTCCCCTCAACCCAGGCAATAAATTTAACCTGAGCCCCTTGCCCTGGGGTGTGGCGGGAACATTCAGTGGAGGGAGTGACATGAGTTACTCACATTCAGAAACCAAAGCAGACTCCCTTATCTGTGTGGTCTGGTTAGACTTAATAGATTGACTGGGTCTTTGTACGTGGCCACAGCCAAAACGAAACCCTCAAACTGTGAGCCTATAGTCAGAGATTCACACAGTTGTTTTAACTTTCTTGATGGTGAGTCTAAGAGGAGACTGTTTTTTCACCATAGAGAGCATTTCTTGGGTCATAATTGTATAAAATAAACTGTCATGTTCTTTTTTTAAAAAAAAAAAAAACTTTTAAAATTGAAAGAATTGGGTCTTGATTTTAGCTAAAATTCTGAGATTTTCAGCCTTGCTTAAAGAAATACCCAACATCACATTGAGTAATGTTCTCCCCTTTTAATTCAAAGCCTTCTTTTTGTTGGGCTCCATCTGTAGCTGCCCTGAACCGATACATCTAACATTGATTGTGCAGCTTCCTTAGGGCTCATCCTAAGACCAGCCTGAGAGCGAGTATAGGACATATAAAGTTCATGCCATCGTATTGAAATGGTCATGACCCATCTGACCCAGACTTCTCAGGCTGTCATGGAGATGTCAGGTCTAGAAGACCCCATCAGCTGAGCAATGGGCGGTGATTGGGCTCACTTGAGCACGGAGGGGGCGGGGGCATGGTGAGATTCCCATTGAGCAACCCGCTCCCACACAACTGTGCTCCCTGAGCTGAGGGAGACACTCACACACCTCCCTCCCCCACCCTGAGGTTTCTGCCCCAAAGGTCGGGGACCAGCCAAGGCGGGTTTCCTGAGGGCAGCAGGATCCTGTGGGGCTGCACCAGCACCGCCTGGAAGCCTCTGACTTTGTGGTCAGGCCATCAGTGGTCTCAAATGGCCAGTAAATGCTGGGTGTGACAGCCCAGGCCGTGGGCTCCTCTGTGTTGGACTGGACAGCCGTAGGCCTGCCGAGACCTCCAGTGGCCCCTCTGCTCTCTGGGGACGGCAGGACTGGCCTGGCCGCTTGGATGGCCAGTCTGGGAACACACTGCTGTCCATTCCTGAGGGTAAACAGACCAGGAAATGTGCCTGCTTCTTTCCAGAAAACACCCAGGTTATTTACCTGATGGTTTATCTCCCCCGCCATCAGGTTCGGAAAAGAATCAGCCCCCACCGCAGAAACACAGTCAGCTGGGGAGCCCAAGGACAGACTCCGGGGACATTCTCCCGAGGGAGGAGCCCTGCCAGCCTCACAGGAAGGGGACCTCTCTGTGCGTGGAGCCAGCCCTCCATGGGGAGGGCGCCCAGGACACTGACTGCAGAGCCAATTCACTCGGCGTCCTGCACCAAATCCTGGGCTGGTCCAGGGACCCTCATCCCACAGTGGTGAGGGCTCCTTCCACCCACACGGTGACCAGCGCTGACAGGGAGGAACACATACGGGAACCCGGACACACTCAGCGCAGCCAGAGGGTGGAGGGCCCAAGTCTGCAACCTTTGACCCCAGTCCCCCTTTGCTTTGGAGACGTTGGCATCACCTTTGGAATGGGTGTCCTTTTTTCATTTTAGACTTTGGGTTGAATTCCTGAATTTTTCTGCAAATTTAGATTATGCTAAAGTGCCTGAATGTCCTTGTCTTGGTTTTCTTAAGGGATTTTACATCCGGTGATTTTTACACTTGAGACAGCTTTGTGAGCGTGTAGACATGGGAAACTTTGAGTGTCGAATCCACACCAGAAAGCTCTGGGCTGCTGGTGGACTGTTGTTCCACCCGTGGGCTGCCCCTTCCAGTCCCTGAAGACGCAGCGTTTGGAGACACACGTTCCCCGATCCTGGAGGCATCTGCAAGGCGCCTTCCTTGTTCCTCAACAGACACATCACCATATGTCCATCCTTTTTGTCTCTGGTTGTCCCATCTGTTTGGTGGCGCTCGAGCCAGGTCATTCTGAATCGCTCTCCCAAGCGCAATAATTACCTCTGAGACTGGAAGAGAGCTGGTTGGCTGAAACCCAGATGTGAAATCACTTTCTCTCTATTCACTGCTCAGATTTGGGGCCTCAGAAAGTAACTGGTTTTGTCTTTGGTCATTTCCCCCTGGAGCCCCTTGCTGGCGTTCTCCCAGAGTCCCTGCTCCTGCTGGTATTAACCACACTTCCAAAATCTCTCTCATCTTCACCTCTATTCTTCTGCCACAGACTTAATTTGGAACTTTCCAGAATGACTCCTCCTCTCTCACTTCTGCTTTGAAATGGGGAGCCCGCATGGCTTCAGCTCCTTCTCAGACTTCACGCTCCCACCTTCCTCTCAGGGAACCCACGGCTCTGCAGAAAACCCAACATGTCTTCACGTTTAGACTAATTTCCCCTCAACCTCAAGGGCACGTTGCCAGGACCTGCTGATCTGTGTGTGTTCACATTTTCCAAGTGTTCCCTTTAGTGCTTTTTATAGACACCTATTTTTACCAGATTGTTATTGCTCCTTAATTGTTCTCGAATTTTTTTTTATTGTTGTTCAAGACCGATTCAGGATAGCAGAGAGGCACTTGATCCTGCAGACCAACTTTCTGAATCTGGTCCTCTCTCATTTACTAATGAGATTGCGTCCCCTGGATGCTGTTTTCTTTCCAGCATCCATTTATAAAGCCCCAAGATCCATGCTCCTCCCTTGAGGACACTCAGAACCCACTCTAGCAGCCTTCACCTTTTCCTCATTTCAGTTCTGAGGAATTGGGATGCAAGGAAAGCTATCAGATCAGGGGTCACAGTGCAAAGATTAGCAGCATCTTTACTGCACTAGAGAGCAAGACCCAAGAAAAAGAAACCCAAGTTTCCGTCTATGTTGTTCACCTTCTCTTTTGTCTTATCTTTCATCTTCCCAGCACTTTTGTCACAATGACTGAACACATCATCCCAGAAAGCCATCACTAGACCAGTGAGCCCAATAAAATTTATGATCTGTTTGGTTCCTGGGTTTCCAGTCCACTTACTCTCAATTTCTAGGTGCTTGTCATCCACTTTCTTATGTATTCCTTAGATCTGAGGCTCACTTTTCAGGTTCCACCGTCTTACAGCCTCCCATTACTTAACCTCACATCCAAATTTGCAAAGATTTCAAAAGTTCAGAAGTCACCAAAAACAGACCGAAGTTCCTTTCCATGAAGGGGGTCTCCTGGGGGCCAGACCCCAGGGTAGGAAATGGTGCAGACACTGTCGTCCCCCATATGATTCAGGGACCAGGGATCCCCTGGGTCGTTGCACACACACCTGACCTGGAGCACCAGGCCTGGAACAAGCCAGGAAGCTGCTCTGCTCACAGCGGCCCCAGCCTGTGGAAGCCGGCCAGCCAGCTGTCCATCACCAGGCGAGCGGATAAACCCACAGTGACCTGTACATCCGTGGAAAGGAACAGACCATGAAACACTGTGCCTTGTGAAAAAATATGGACCCCAAAGCCACCTAGTGTGATTCCATCCACATGAAATTGCAAGGCAGGTAGATCCGTAGACAGACGGCAGGTGTGACTGCCGGGGGCTGACTGCAGACGGGGCTTGGAAATTTGGGGCGGTGGAAGCGTTTCCAAATGGGTTGTGTTAACGGCTGGTTCTCTCTATTCACTGCTCAGATTTGGGGCCTCAGAAAGTAACTGGTTTTGTCTTTGGTCATTTCCCCCTGGAGCCCCTTGCTGGCGTTCTCCCAGAGTCCCTGCTCCTGCTGGTATTAACCACACTTCCAAAATCTCTCTCATCTTCACCTCTATTCTTCTGCCACAGACTTAATTTGGAACTTTCCAGAATGACTCCTCCTCTCTCACTTCTGCTTTGAAATGGGGAGCCCGCATGGCTTCAGCTCCTTCTCAGACTTCACGCTCCCACCTTCCTCTCAGGGAACCCACGGCTCTGCAGAAAACCCAACATGTCTTCACGTTTAGACTAATTTCCCCTCAACCTCAAGGGCACGTTGCCAGGACCTGCTGATCTGTGTGTGTTCACATTTTCCAAGTGTTCCCTTTAGTGCTTTTTATAGACACCTATTTTTACCAGATTGTTATTGCTCCTTAATTGTTCTCGAATTTTTTTTTATTGTTGTTCAAGACCGATTCAGGATAGCAGAGAGGCACTTGATCCTGCAGACCAACTTTCTGAATCTGGTCCTCTCTCATTTACTAATGAGATTGCGTCCCCTGGATGCTGTTTTCTTTCCAGCATCCATTTATAAAGCCCCAAGATCCATGCTCCTCCCTTGAGGACACTCAGAACCCACTCTAGCAGCCTTCACCTTTTCCTCATTTCAGTTCTGAGGAATTGGGATGCAAGGAAAGCTATCAGATCAGGGGTCACAGTGCAAAGATTAGCAGCATCTTTACTGCACTAGAGAGCAAGACCCAAGAAAAAGAAACCCAAGTTTCCGTCTATGTTGTTCACCTTCTCTTTTGTCTTATCTTTCATCTTCCCAGCACTTTTGTCACAATGACTGAACACATCATCCCAGAAAGCCATCACTAGACCAGTGAGCCCAATAAAATTTATGATCTGTTTGGTTCCTGGGTTTCCAGTCCACTTACTCTCAATTTCTAGGTGCTTGTCATCCACTTTCTTATGTATTCCTTAGATCTGAGGCTCACTTTTCAGGTTCCACCGTCTTACAGCCTCCCATTACTTAACCTCACATCCAAATTTGCAAAGATTTCAAAAGTTCAGAAGTCACCAAAAACAGACCGAAGTTCCTTTCCATGAAGGGGGTCTCCTGGGGGCCAGACCCCAGGGTAGGAAATGGTGCAGACACTGTTGTCCCCCATATGATTCAGGGACCAGGGATCCCCTGGGTCGTTGCACACACACCTGACCTAGAGCACCAGGCCTGGAACAAGCCAGGAAGCTGCTCTGCTCACAGCGGCCCCAGCCTGTGGAAGCCGGCCAGCCAGCTGTCCATCACCAGGCGAGCGGATAAACCCACAGTGACCTGTACATCCGTGGAAAGGAACAGACCATGAAACATTGTGCCTTGTGAAAAAATATGGACCCCAAAGCCACCTAGTGTGATTCCATCCACATGAAATTGCAAGGCAGGTAGATCCGTAGACAGACGGCAGGTGTGACTGCCGGGGGCTGACTGCAGACAGGGCTTGGAAATTTGGGGCGGTGGAAGCGTTTCCAAATGGGTTGTGTTAACGGCTGGACGGCTCTATAAATTTACTAAAAATAACTGAGCTGTCCATGCTCACTGATGACTTGTCCGGCATGTAAATTATGTTTTGATGAAGCTGTTTGAAAAGAGAGAGAAAGGCAAAAAGCCAAGACAACACGGGCCGGCGTGTGTCTCCAACCGCACAGCTCAATTCACGCCCCAAAGGGTCACCCTTAGGATTAGTATTCCTCTGCTGTCATCCTCCGGGGAGTGAGAAGCTGTAATCTGAAGCCACAGACTGAGAAGCAGCCCAGCAGCCAATAGCCTCGACATCGAAGTCCTCGCCCCCAATTACTTGGATCTGCCAGAAACCAGAGAGGACTCTGGTGGCCTGAAGTCTCCGAATGAAGGACGACAAGCAAACTTTCTCTTTGGGGGCACATCCTCGCTGCCATTTGAGTTGTTTGCTAGAACGAAGGTCCGTTCTGTTATCCCTGTTTCTTTCTACAAGCCTAAGACAATGCTCTTAATTTCTCAGAGTTCTGCAAATTCCATGCCATTACCTCTTGCAACTGGGACCAAGACTCTCATTATTTTACCAAAATGGAAATTCTCAGCTCAGCCAAGTCTAGTTCAGTCCACCTCTGCCTGAAAAATAGCCTAACTCACTGATTTCCCAGCATGTCTTCCTGGAGCGTGGAATTAGCCTGAGCACAGCCTGCGGCCATGGGAGATGTTAAGCTGTTTCCTGGAAAAGCCAAGAGGGCTCCATACGGGGGAGCATCCCCCCATCCCCCATGGCCGCCCTGTCCTGAGTAGAGGTCCAGACGGTTTTTCTCTCTCGAAGATGCTGGAGAAAAGGGCAGGAGGCAAGGTTCCACATGACACGACCATGCAAAATACTGCAGTGGCGTTGTTCCCTGGGGCTGGGATAATGCTCTGTAAGGGGTACTTTTCGCCATCAGAATTTGTTCTCTGTCCTTCATCAAGAAGGCATCCTCCGCTGTAGAGTGACCTGCATCCCTGGTGAAGCATCATGTTACATGCTGCATGGACCTGCGGGGAGTCACGAAGTGCCACTGAGCAGGATCTCTGGCCAATTACATGAAAGAACCTTCCCATCAACAATACTGAGGGATCCTGAGAAAACTGTAATTGAAAAAAACACATGTACCCGAAAGTTCATTGCCGCACTATTTACAATAGCTAGATCATGGAAGAAACCTAGATGAATCGATAAAGACGCTGTGGTACATATATACAATGGAATATTACTCAACCATAAAAAAGAATGCATTTGAGTCAGTTCTAATGAGGTGGATGAACCTAGAGCCTATTATAGGGAGTGAAGTAAGTCAGAAAGAGGAAGACAAATATCATATATTAACACATATCTATGTGGGATCTAGAAAGATGGTACTGATGAACCTATTTGCAGGGCAGTGGTGGAAATGCCGACATAGAGACAGACTTGTGGATACAGGGGAGGAAGGAGAGGGCAGGACAAATGGAGAGAGTAGCCGGTAAACATAGACACTAGCGTGTGTAAAATAGATGGCCTGTGGGAATTTTCTGTGTGACACAGGGAGCTCAAACTGGGGCTCGATGACAACGTACAGTGGTGGGATGGGGTGGGAGGTGGGAGGCAGTTTCAAGAGGGAGGGGACATATGCATGCCTATGGCTGATTCATGTTGATACATGGCAGAAAACAATGCAATGTTATAAATCAATTATCCTTCAGTTAAAAATAAGTAAATTTTTTAAAAAACATACTGGGCAGGTGGGTTGAATTGGGAGATTGGGAATGATTGACATGTACACTATTAATACTATGTATATAGTAGATAACTAATGAGAACTCGGTGCTCTGTGGTGATGTATATGGGAAGGAATCCACCAAAGGGGATATATGTATACATATGGCTGATTTTCTTTGCTGTATGGCAGAAATTAACACAGCAGTGCAAAGCAACTATACTCTAATAAAAATTGTTGGGTTGGCCAAAAAGTTCCATAATATCCTACGGAAAAACCTGAGGGAACTTTCTGGCCTACCCAATATTTTTTAAAAAACCCACAATGCCCTCGCCCTAAACTCCAGCATTCCCGCAGAAATGTCTGCAGATACTTGAGCACCAAAAACAGAAGTCATGGCCTCCCCCTCTGCGTTCCAGGATGTTTTTACTCAGAGTGGTCGCCTCATAGTCATATTTTTCTGGGCCGTTTGACTGGCAGCCTCTCCTCTGTCTGTGAAGTCAATCCAGGTTAAATACAGTTTTACAACACTCAGCTGAAAGCACTGACCTTCTGAATTGACAGCAGCCTGAATGAGCAGCTAGCGCTGTGTGTGTCCGCTTGTGTTTGGGGCGTTGGTGTGACTGTGCTCTGCACTGTCGCCGCTGGGTCCTTTGCCATCCCACCCCCTGTTTTTCTAACTTCTCTCTTCTTTCTCTGCCCATCCCTCTCCCCCACTCCCGCCTCCTTATCTCTTCCCCTGGCCACTTGAGATGTCCCAGCAGAAGACGACCCCTCGCCCTGTGCCCTGGAGACGGGCCATGGGCGGCAGTGCCAGAACGGCACGGTGTGCAAGCCAGGCTGGGATGGACCCAAACACGGCATCACCAACTTCGACAACTTCGCCTTCGCCATGCTGACTGTGTTCCAGTGTATCACCATGGAGGGCTGGACCGATGTCCTCTACTGGGTACGTGCTGGGGCAGGCGGGGCGGACAGCCTCCGCCTTCCAGGGCCACGTGGTCACACGCACACCAGGAGGAGTGAGGACCTTCATTTCTTCCAGGTCCTGCCTGAGAAACAAAGCCCATGAGCCTCTCTCTGCTCACCAGCCCAAGAAAAGTGTCACCTCTCATTTGTCCTCCACAGTGGCAAGCGCTGGCACACAGCCCAGTGGGGCTACGGCCGACCCGACACAAGGGTCCTCTTGTAGGGCTTCTCCCGCCCCGTACATGTCCTGCCCATGTCCCCAAGGGAGTGGGAGGGCACATGTTCAATTTCTAGGGCTAAAGAGAAGACTCAGGCTTGGTCTTCAGAGAGGAAAGCATTTTTATTGAATTGTGCAGCATCGCGGCATTCTATTGTGTTTTCCCTCTTGTGTTTGATCTTCCCTCGTTATATCAGATAGTCCATCAGACAAACGCATAACCAGCCTCTTCACTGCTGACAGAATGCTCTGCTGGTCATGTGATATGTATTCAGAAGTGTCACTTCTCAAGTGCCAACCAATCAGCAGTAAATCTCCTTTTACCTTAAAGATGCCCTTTTATCAGCCAGTAGCCAACACGACTTTGCCAGCATCCGAGCTGTCGAGGGGCAGGTTTTCATGCAGCCTGCCCCACAGGCAAACACACCATATTTGATCTGTCTTCATCCTGGCAGTCAAGTCCATTATTTATAAAAACCCCAGAAAATGTCATTCTTTGTAGGATCTCTTACTTCCACGTGAGAACTGACGTGCCAGAGCCCAGCACTGCACTCCAGCGTTTGGGCGGAAAATGCTTGTTGTCGGGCTTGAGAATATCATCGCGCCCAGAGTTTTGCAAATAATCAAGTGGATTTGGCTTCTCTGAAAACAGTCTAAGAGGCTGTTTGGGGAGGAAGGGATGCCAGGCTGCCAGGCTGGGAAGAACCAGAGCCAGGAGAGGTGTCCACCCCCGCCCCGGACCAGGAGGAGGAGTTTTGGAACCTCTCAGAGATGCTCTGCACATTCTGGGCATTGTGGCTGCTAAACTGTTTTCAACAATTCAGAAGCCCTCTTCTCCCAGTTTCTGGGGGCAGACTGAGACCCTGCACTGCCATGAAATGTGCACCTCTCTTCATAGAACCAGTTTAAACTTGCCCACGTGCCTTGAACCCCACCAATGATATTCAGTGTTCCCTGCTTGATCGGGGGTGCCTGATGTCCTCAGGATTCAGACACAATTACATCCAACTCAGAGCAGGGAAACCAGCTAGACTGCACTTAACAATGGTGGTCCTGCCGTGGGAGCCTGGTAGAGTGGCCATGCAGTGACACTCTCAGAAAAGACACAGGTCTAATCACCTCTCCCTCCAACCGAGACGAACATTGGCACCCCTCTCCCAGGCTCATACTCAGTAAGAACTTGGCTTTGAATTTGTGAGACAAAGGGAAATGAGCTTACTCTTTCCGGGCAAGTTTAATTTCTTTTAGCAAAGCAGATAGAATTCAAAAGTGGCCCTAAGGAGTCCTTCTACCTTGGGTGGGTCCCTCTGGCCAGTCAAAGACAGATGCCCTCTAGCAACGGGCATCACAGGACAGGTGGTCGTTAGTGCCCGAGCTGTGTGTGCGTGTGTGTCTGTGTGCGGGCACACATGTGCATGTGTGTGCACCTATACACACACACACACACACGCACCCCTGAAGACAGAAGGGAACCTCCTGGTGGGTATTTTGAGGGAGGCCCCTCCTAGCCCAGAGCGCCTGCCTGCTCTCTCTCCTCTGCTTCTGTACCCTCTCTGGTTGCTCCTCCTTCCTCTCCTCAGGCTCCTTCTCCAAAAACCCACAGGCTCTCACACCCCTCTTTGCTTTCCTATAAAACATGGAGCTCTCTGAGCAGGGAAGGGCCCACTCCCCCACCCAGTACAGCCAGGGGACAGACGCAGAGGGTCGGCCGGGGGACAGATGCCGAGGGGTCGGCCGGGGGACAGATGCCGAGGGGTCGGCCGGGGGACAGATGCCGAGGGTCAGCCTGGGGACAGACGCCGAGGGTCCAGCTGGGGGACAGACACTGAGGGCCCAGCCCCAGCCCCTACAGGAGCTCCCAGAGGTCCCCACGCCCTGTGTCCATGGAGTGGGGGGCACAGGGCATCTGCAGGGAGGCATGAGTGTCCCCTGAGCCCCAAGCAGGGCTCCGAGCAGGATTTCAGGCACCCTGCACTTCAGGAATCTCAGTGCCTCAACAACTGTCCATGATGGGGACTCTGTTGACCTCTGCCCATGAGGCCCTCTGCCCGGGCCCCCAGACTCTGCTTCCCGTGTGACACAGGACAGCCATCTGGCCTGTGTCCTGGCCTCACTTCCTCCACCAGCACTCATCCCCTCCCACTTCCTGACACCTCCTGTTTTCCCCAGTTGGTTTCTCCCTGACCAGTTCTTCTGCTGATTTTTAAGAATTAGAGATTCAGCTTAAAACTAAAATTAAAAGGATTCCCTCATGAGAAATCACAAAAAGGAAAGATGTGTCTTTGGGAGCTTCTGCCTCAATTTGGCTCCAGCAGGAATGAAAGCATAAGGTTTTACCTTTGCACAAGTCAGTTGTCAGCTCCACACTCACATGTGTGGACACACTGGGAGGACATTCCTCACATACATTCACTCACACACATACATGCACACACATACACACATATGCATGTATGTATGTGCATACACACACTTATATACTCACACATGCACACACATATACCCCTAGATACACACTCACGCATGCATACACATATGCACACACGTATATATACATACACACGCGAGTGCACATGCACACACATACATATACGCACCATGGCCACTGATCGCTGGCCTCGGCACTGCTGAAATATCCCTGGTTTATGAGGAAGGTCTTTTGCCTCCAAGCAGGTGGCATTGGGTGTTTGACCCTGTTCTCTCCCGTTCCATCTCCACCTCTTCTCCCTGCCTTAAAGGTGTCCAGCGAGCAGAGCTGGGGAGTTGAGCTCTACCAATGACAGAGAGCCACTCAGGGTGAAAGTAGAGAAGAGTCCTCGTCACCAGAGACAGCACCTGGCTCTAACAGGGATGAGGTAGAGAAGGTGTCGGGGTCCCCGGTACCCCCAGCCCTGAACCCCGAGTCTGCCCTAGGTTGGGCATTACTGCTCAGCACCCACGCAGCTTTAAACAGAGAATCTGTTACCTAAACAATACACTCCTGGTTTATAAACATATTAAGAAGGGGAATTCTCATCTCTCAAAGCTATAATTTGTTTACTTATTAGGTTTTGTTTTATTCATTTTGCTGGCATTAGGCAAGTTCTTATTACTCAGTAATTCAATTGAACACACATTTAGTGAGCATTTACAGGGCCCCCAGGCCTGCACTTGAGGAGTTTGGGTCTAATTGGAGAGACGTGGACACAGAGAAATGTGGCTCCCACTCAGGACCCCGCGAGAGCAGGGAGGGCTTCCCGGAGGAGGCGGGGTTTCGCTGGCCCATCAGTTTCACTGAGTGGGGAGCAAGAGAGAAAGAAAAGCCAGCTTTACACCAGTTTGGAGACTGGACAGAACCATGCTCTGGGCTCCTCACACATCTAAGAGCCAGCCCAGCCCCCTGCGGCCTCACCAAGTACCAGAGGCTCACGTGGGACAGCAAGGTCCACGGGCCTCCACTCCACGCCCCACTCAGTGCGGGGTCCCGGCCAAGTCCTGGAGAAGCTGATTTTGTCGAGTGGTGGGCCTGCGGCAGATCCCACACCACCTGGGCATTCCTGGTGCCGGAGCATGCACAAAGGGGCAGGAGGGGTCAGGTGAGATGGTCCCCCGACTTGCTGCTCCCCCAGTGACCCGCGGGTGGACCCTGTGTCCCACAGACAAGGTGATACAGGTCAGGGTTTCATCCGGCCACCGCCCTAGGCACTTGCTTTCAGGGCAGAGCTGACCCCGCCCACCAATAACAGTCCCTATAATGCACTATGATTTTAAAGGCTGCACCTGCTACCTGTGATGACAGGTGACAGCCTCCCACGCCCCCCAAACTGCCCAGCCCTTGGGTACCGCAATGCCTTGGAGGGGGCACCAGACCTGAAAGGTCCCTGGAGTCAGTTGGGGTGGAGAGAGGCCCCCAGAGGATGGGGCTGGAGTCAACAGTCCTCCTATGTTTTCTTCCTGGGGAAACGTGATGTTGGATTTGAAGGTTGGAGGTGTGGTTCCCTCCAGGAATTAGATGTGGGGGGAGGGGAGGCATGTGTTTCAACAAAGCCTGGTTACTGGTGAGGTCCCAGCTGAGGGGCTGCAGGTGGTGGACCCCGGGGGCCTCTCTGCATGCCCACCCAACAGGGGCCCAGAGAACAACTGGCTTCAGTGTCTGAGCAGACCTGTCCTTTTTCACCTCTAAGTAAGGGTGTTAGCAATCTGGGTCATTCTTTAAAATACTGCTGTATTTATTCTTCTCTCCTGAATAGCTCCACGCGGGCTGACTGAAGCCATCCGTCTCCTGCTCCCGCACTGCCCTACTTCAGGGCTGCCCGCACATGTGTTGGCGCCCAGGCCGCCCCAGAGCAGGGGGCCCAGAGCTAAGGTGGGGGTGTGAGAGGATGCAGAGAGTCACAGCCTCTGTCCTGTCCTTGCTTTGAAGGCTGGGCTGTGGACCAGAGGGTCTCAAGCCTAAGACACATCAGATGCACCCGGGGCTTGTGAGATCCTGGGACGTCAGGCGCCCCCAGTGTGGGTGTAAGGCCGAGGGGTGAGGTTCCAAACTAGGCCCCAGGTGCCCAGGGAGGATGATATTGCTGGCCCTGGGGCCTCCCCTGGAGAATCACAGACGCAGGTCATTCGGGAAGCCTGTGCCCTGCGCGATTTTGGAAACCCAGTGGTGTCAACCTCCCATGGGATCTCCGTTGGCCCATGTTTGCTAGAGCTGCTCCCTGAGCACCAACCCCAAACCACCGTCCTCCCGGCCAGTGGCCTCTGAAGCCAATGACACAGCGTGGTCATCAGCACTCATCCACTCAGGCCCCTGGGTCACTCACTGAGGAAGGCGTCTCCCCATGCGACCCCAAAGCTGCCACCCTTGCTTGTCTGTGAGAGCTGAGGCCAGGGTGCCGGCCACAGTGACCACATAAACCCAAGTGAGCGTAAACCATCTCCTAGGGAAGAAAGCACCTTGGAGGTGACCCAGCTTCTTAGACGAGTGCATAGAAAATATTGGAGGGAAATTCTGCTCCCCCGAAAATAAAAGGGCAGAGACAGCCGAGCGAGATCCCCACCCGCCCGGAGGCAGAGCCGCCAACGTCCTTCCCGCTCAGGTCAAGGTCACCGAGTGTTAGAATCAAGGTGGCGCTGGGCGACAGTGGTTTCCCCCAATCTCTGCTTCTCCCTCCTGGCCTCCCGGCCTCCTCGCTGTGAACTCACTCTTGCTTCTCTCTCTCCTCACTGTCCTTGGTCTTTCCAGATGCAGGACGCTATGGGCTACGAGTTACCCTGGGTGTATTTTGTCAGTCTGGTCATCTTCGGCTCCTTCTTCGTTCTAAATCTGGTTCTTGGTGTGTTGAGCGGGTAAGCTGAGTGTTTCTGTGTCCTCGTCACGACGCAGCTGAGCAAGGCCCCAGGCCCCGTGTACTCGTCACCAGGCCCAGGAGAACAGAAGCTGTCTCACTTCAGCCGCACGTGCGGACCGCTGGCTGGGCAGGCCACTTGGCCTCTGGTGACCCGGATGCCCCGGTCCTGGCGCCTCCCGGTGGCGCCGGGCCCAGGGTAGCGGGCCGTGCTCGGCTGCTCCCGGAGCTGCACTAACTCTGACCCCGTTCTTCCAGGTCAATGATGCCGTGGGAAGGGACTGGCCCTGGATCTATTTTGTCACATTAATCATCATAGGTTCATTCTTTGTTCTTAACTTGGTTCTCGGTGTCCTTAGCGGGTAAGCAGGACCAAGCAAGAAGGTCTCGACTTTTCCATTTACCTTGTTTTACTCTTTCTGCTCTTCCTGGCTCTATTCTTCTGGCTCTGATGAACCCGGGACGTGGGCCAGCCCGGGAGCCTTAAAGTGAATGTCCTTGGCCTGGCTGGACAGAGGTCAGAGGCACAGGGAAGAGCCCCCCTGGTTTGGGCTACAGTGAGAGGTACCTGGGTCCACCTGTCTCCTGCCAGCCCTGCCCACGCCAGGCTGGACTGTCCAGGTGGGCAGGACGCTTTTCCGGGGACCTCGGGAGCATCTGGGCCCCTTGGTTTGGCAGAGGAATTGGAGGAAGATTCGTGGGCCGTCTGCTCTGGCCCTCGTAGCAGCCTAGCAGACGGGCACCTGGGCTATCTGTCCAGCCTCCATCCAGGATCACTGGCAGTGAGGACTCAGGCCCTCTTTACCCATGCTGACTGGGCCAGGAGTTTGAGCTAAAATGCAAATAAACCAAACAGACCGAGATTCCCCTTCTCCTTGGCTCTGATCGCAGCTTGGGCTGCCCCTGTCTGTGTCCGCCTCGGGAAGGAGGAGCACTTGGCTGTTTAAAGTTCCCGATTACAGGAGGACAGAGGAGACTGAGCATGTTTTCCTTCAACTTTTTCTGCTCATCTCCAAGTAGGAAGCCCTCCTAATTTCGGCCTTGGTACAGATAAAGTTAAAAAGTGGTCAAGGCAGCAGGTGGCAGGGCCCAAGGAGCCCTGGGCAACCACCCCTGCCCCACAGCCCCACTGGACATCTCCTCAGCCCCCTTTCTTCTTTCCAAGCCCAAGCCAGCCACGCCAAGGCCACCTCTGAAGGCTCCCGTGACTCTCTGCTCCTGCACCACATGGGGGAGGGGCCGCTGCTTCACAGCCTTTCCTCCCTCTCTGGGGATGTGTGTGTCGGGGAGAGTCGGCCAAAGAGGAGGACATCCCCCATCTCCTGCCACAGTCTAAGGCCCCACAGGAGTGTCAGGGTCGGCCCTGGAAGTGGGGAAGGGGCAGGGTCCATCCTGACCTCACCCCTCCCCAACAGGAGGGCCATCAGAGGCCCCATCTCCCTGGCCACACAGCGGGGGGACTAGCACCGTCCGTCAGTGTGACAGCGATGCACAGGACAGTGGGTGCCCATGTCAGCTGCCTGGAGGGTGGCAGGGTTTCCATTTTGTGTCCAACACAAGAAAATGGCCTGTTTATAGGAGGTCGTCAGGGAGAGGGTTGGAAAAGTCAAACTCGTCACCTTTCAGGGCAGAAATTTAGCTGCTCCAGCACTGGCCTTCCTGGAGGCTGGAGGTTCTTAAATGTTGCTCACCCAGCTGACAAAGCGGGGATCGTGACCCCAGCCCCTCGGTCGCTGTGATGGCAGCATGTGGTCGTTTACTTCAGTGCCTCGGCGGGCAGCAGGCGCTCAGCAGCGGCACCATCCCTACGGCAGTGCTGTCCCCACAGGGCTGACTGTTGGCTCGGTGCTGTCGGAGCTGGACAATTGAGCAGCTCATCCCAGGTTAGACGTGCTGCCCTCTGCTTCCAGGGACGAGGGAAGGGCCCCTGAGGAGCCGTGGGGCTTGTAGGGGTCCCCTCACTGGTCAGTGTCTGCACAAGGCCCTGCCCTGCTCCCATCTCCCCATCACTGCCCGCAGACGAATGTTGAGTGAGCTGGGCCTGTGACGTGCCAGCTTCTCAACCTTGATAAACGTGGCTCCACGTCCTCCCCCAGAGATTAGGAGCAGGTCTGAGCAGTGAAGTTCCCCTGGAAATCTGCAGCGGAGGCTGAGGCGTCGACCACGAAGCCCCCTCGAGCAGGGGTCTGCCTGGTCGTGCTCGGCCCCCGAGGGGAACTCCTCCCCAGAGGTCAGAGCAGAGTCAGATTGTGGCAGTGCTGGGGGCAGGCAGAGTGGTCTTAAAGGGTGGGTCTCAGCCCAGCTGAGTCTGAGTGGGTGGGTGGGCCCACGGGATTCTAGAACCCAGATCCACTCCCCTCCTGGGAGCTCAGCCCTCGATCAGTCTCCCCAGACCCCTCCCCACCCCAGCGGCCCAACACTGCTGCCCCTTCCAAGCTTCCTAGGTCCCAGACACCCGCTTTGCCTGGACTCAGAGTGTCTGCAGGCGAGTCCTCGGCGGGCAGCAGGCGCTCAGCAGCGGCACCATCCCTACGGCAGTGCTGTCCCCACAGGGCTGACTGTTGGCTCGGTGCTGTCGGAGCTGGAGAATTGAGCAGCTCATCCCAGGTTAGACGTGCTGCCCTCTGCTTCCAGGGACGAGGGAAGGGCCCCTGAGGAGCCTTGGGGCTTGTAGGGGTCCCCTCACTGGTCAGTGTCTGCACAAGGCCCTGCCCTGCTCCCATCTCCCCATCACTGCCTGCAGACGAATGTTGAGTGAGCTGGGCCTGTGACGTGCCAGCTTCTCAACCTTGATAAATGTGGCTCCACGTCCTCCCCCAAAGATTAGGAGCAGGTCTGAGCAGTGAAGTTCCCCTGAAAACCTGCAGTGGAGGCTGAGGCATCGACCACGAAGCCCCCTCGAGCAGGGGTCTGCCTGGTCATGCTCGGCCCCCGAGGGGTACTCCTCCCCAGAGGTCAGAGCAGAGTCAGATTGTGGCAGTGCTGGGGGCAGGCAGAGTGGTCTTAAAGGGTGGGTCTCAGCCCAGCTGCGTCTGAGTGGGTGGGTGGGCCCACGGGATTCTAGAACCCAGATCCACTCCCCTCCTGGGAGCTCAGCCCTCCATCAGTCTCCCCAGACCCCTCCCCACCCCAGCGGCCCAACACTGCTGCCCCTCCCAAGCTTCCTAGGTCCCAGACACCCGCTTTGCCTGGACTCAGAGTGTCTGCAGGCGAGCAGCTCCCCTTCCTGGCCCAGCCAGAGGGCTGGCTGCCCAAGGAGAAGCCCAGAACCAGGCTGCTGTTGACTGAGCATGTGCAGCAGTGACCCCGTCTTGACCAGTCAAGACAGTGCTATGGTATTTCCCCCACCACTCCCCCCGGATCACAACCATATGCCCGCTTGCCCTGTGGCCAACCTTCCAGAATACTTGGAAATGTCCAGGGGCTCACCGCGAAGCCCCTTCTCGGGTCAGTGTCTGTTGTGAGGAGTTCGTCAGCAGGCTTCGGGCTTGGCGTCCTTGGTGGATCCGCTCACGTGCTGCCCATGCTGCCCCGAGAGCTGATGCAGAGCACATGTCCACTCCACAGAGAAGAAAAGTGAGGTTTATATGTGGAAACCTCCCCAGTTCTCACAGGTGGGGCCTTGAGGATCAGGATTAAACCCCCACATGTGGACCCACGACCTTTGCTCCCATCCCCCACGCTCCCCTGTCTCCAAGCCCATCAGCCTCGTTAATCCCATGACTCCAAATTATGGCCAAGATGCAGGGGGGAGAAGTCACCTGTGGACAGATGGGGGGCCCAGACCGAGGACCAGGGGTCCTGGAGGAAGCTGGAGAATCCCTGCCCTGAGGGCCTCAGGCGGTCCTGAGCTGGGGGCCATCAGCTGCCAGCAGCTGGTAAATGTAACAGCCCTTGAAGAAGAACAGAGCTCCCCACATGCAGCACTGTCATCTCAAAGTGTTTGGAGCTGGTGGCTGGGACCCTGCGTCCATCAATTAAGGGTATTGTCCTTTCAGAGCCCAGCAGGGTAACTCATCCTTATATATTCCTCCCTGCAGTCATGGAGGAAGGGCTCAGGGTGCTTGGGGTCTCCTGCTCAGGAAGGCAGGAGAACAACTATGGAAAGCCTACATTTTAAACTTGGAAGTCAGAGATTTTGGTCACTGGAAGATTGGGCATCCTTTGTCTGGAAACCTATTCCTGCTGAGGCCAGATGGATCCATGTAGCTATCCATCTTCTGGATCTTTTCAAAATGCTTCCACGTTCATTGCCTGTTGATTCTCACAAGTCTCAGAACCTCCAGAAATCTCACCTCCCGCCCATTAGAACAGGGATCACGACCACAAGATTCTGGAAACTGTGCTAGAAGTTGCAATCGAGTGAAAGTCACTGTACCCTGGATTCTGGTCACTTTCTGGTTTTAAGTTGTTGCAAACAGAGAAGACATATGTCTTCAGGTGATAAGGGGCATGGGATCTCTTAGACGGTGGGTGCCCAGCTCTTGTTCCCTCTGGAGATGAGGCAGAGGGCCTGAGGGTACAACAGGCATGTTGTGACATGGAAACAGCCCTGACCACCAGCCACAGTTAAGACCCACGTCAAGAAGCAGCAGAAGTGCCGGACAAGCTGCCTCGCAACTGGAGTAGGGGTGATGCTCACAACTCCCGGCAGGGTTGGTCCAACACTGAATTCATGAACACTGAACTCTGTTCTTTGGGGGAAATAGAGGGTTAGGTTCCTGTGAGCCTCTGGACACAGCCTCATCATCAGGAGACAAGTTGTTTTGTATGTGCATCTGTATGAAGGCATCTTGTTTAAAGCATAGTATCGTTCACACCGCACTCTCAGCCCACAGCTTATAACTCAGGCCTGGATGGAGCTCGTCAGACACTTGAACATTCCCCCGAGGCACATCCCAGCCCTTGAGCACATAGGGTCATAGACTACACAGCAGCTTCATGCTTGGAGGCCGTTTAATCAGAAAAATCACCAACAAAAAGTACAAAATGCAGGAGACATGGCATCAGATGGGCTGTAAAAAGGCCCTCATTTGCAGTATGAGCTGCACCCAGAAGGTGGCAGCCCCTTGTCTCACCTCGGCCGGGATCATGACCCCGGATCCTGCCTTCCTGCATGTCTGCAGTGACCACAAAGTCTCGTCATGGATGGCATGACTAATAAGGCTTGGGGAGGAGACAGGTCTGCAGACGCAGAGTCCGTGGGTGATGAGGAGCGGCTACACCGGTCATCATGGGGCCTGGAGCCCCAGCCATGGCACCAACAGACCTTCCACATGCACCACTGGGAGCTGTGCAAACCGCACACCCAGAATGGTCTCTCCACCACATCTGTGCCGTCAGCCACTGCCAGCGCCCCTGCCTTCAGACAGACACCCCATGACTGACACAGCAGCGTGAGACGTCAGAAAGGAGATGAAGAGACAGGTGCTTCCGCCCTGCAGGTCCCCTATAACGTGGGGTCTGGAAGAGGAGCCCCCGCCCTTCCATGTGCCCTAAACCCCATGAGGACCCGGCCATACTGCTCCTCACCCCTCACCCCCAGGAAACCTCATTTCCTCATCTCCTGGGGGTGTCTGTGTGGTTCCCAGGGGTCTCGGATGTGGATGGCAAGCTTCCACTCTGCAGAGCAGATGTCACTATGCATGACTGGGTCAGCTCCCGGCTCCAGGAGGAGGACAACCTTAGCTACTCAGTCCCCTGCACCCCAAGCCCGCTGCACAAGGAACAGAGCTCCCAAAGGTGGGGGGTGGGATGGGAGGATGATCAAGGGGGCCTGGAATTGCAGTCTTGGAGGGGCGCTCTGTGAAGTGACTCCAGGCAGCGAGCCCACAGCCAAAGAGGAGTGGTGGGTGCGGAGGGCTGGGGCCTCTCTCCAGGCCCCTCCCCATCGGCAGGAGCTGAGGCCTCCCTCCACGTGGTCAGTGGGCAGCCCAGCTCCTTTTTCCCCCGGGAAGGTAGGGGAGGTGCTGGGCAGCTGGCAGGAAGCCCAGGAAGAGCAAGTTCAATCAGACTGGAATTGGATTCAATCAGAGTGAAGAACATCCCGTCCCAATCAGAGCATCATCAAAGCGGCAGTTGGCAAGAACTCGGAGCCCACATCTCCCAACGGAAATGTCCCCAGACCGTCCCAGCCCTACCCCTCATGGTAAAGAGTGAAAGCTGAGCTCCGGCAGCGAATGCAGACCCTGGACAGTGGGTGTGGGGGCTCCGGAGCTGAGGTGTCCTGCCCGCTGGCTCACCTGTGCGCCCTGCCTTCCACGACGCCTGCCTATGGAGCGTCAGATCCTGCAGAATCCCTCCAGGTGGACTCTGCAGCCTCCCACCCTGACCTGTGCCTCCCCCACTAAGGGAAGGAAAAGTCGTGTCTCTAGGAAGAAGCTGAAATGCCCAGTACATCCATAGATACCCCAGGGGTCCCGAGTACCACAGACTGAGGCATGCACGGCTATTTATTTAGAAAAGGCACAGACTTGCTTCAAGAGTGAGACCCAGCCTCCTTGACCCCCTTCTTGGCCACCAGCCCCTCCTGGCTCAGAAAGTGAATTCAAAATCACAGAGAAAATAAGGACAGAGTCACAGAAAACAGGAAAGAAGTAGACACTCTCCAAAATTCTTTAATAGGTCCTTCTTCCAGCAAATACCAACCCAATTTTAGCTTCTACTCATTATTGCTTGAGACTGAATGCCCCATTTAACTTTTATATCGTCTTGACTTTATGCATTTTCCCATTCTGATTAGATTTCTTTTTTAACCCAAAGGGCAGCCACAGGACATTTTCTTGTGTTTGGAACCCTCTTTTGTCTCCTTCATGTGGGAAAGAGCTTTCTCTAGATTAGAAACCCTCCAGGCTTGCTGAACCAGCAGAACATGCCCTAGAAATGAGAAGGGGTGGAGAGGTGAGCCCTCCTGGGCCTGACCTCAGTGACTATCCCAGCCCACATATATCATGGGCTCTTTGAGGGGCAGAGCCCTGATTTGTAACATCTGACAATTTCTGTAGTGTAAACACCCCACCAGGGCCAACCTCAAGCCCTTGAGGAAGCACCTGGGTTGGCAGAGCCGGTGGGGTGGGGGGGGCTTCAGCCAGACTGCAGCTCCTCGTCTCCCAGGGCTGTAGTGGGGGTCCCCACTGGCTACTGTTTAGAAGGCCTTTCAGGTCATTGGGGGACGTCTGTCATGAGAGGCAGCTTGCAGTCACAGCCCAAAAAGAGGGGACATGGGTTTGGTCTATCTGCTGTTCATGTCCCAGGTGAGGATGCCCCCCCCCCAGCCATTTTATGAAAGCAGATCAGACCTGGGACGGGGGTCCATGCAAGTGGGGGCCGGCGGTGGGCTTCCTGTGCGATGCAGCTAACCCTTTGTTCCTCTTGCCCCGTCTCTCCCGCACTGCCCGCTTGGCGTCTCTCACCAGAGAGTTCTCCAAAGAGCGAGAGAAGGCCAAGGCCCGGGGCGACTTCCAGAAGCTGCGAGAGAAGCAGCAGCTGGAGGAAGACCTGAAGGGCTACCTGGACTGGATCACGCAGGCCGAGGACATCGACCCCGAGAATGAGGACGAGGGCCTGGACGAGGAGAAGCCCCGAAACAGTGAGCAGCCGCCCGCAAGGGGCTGGGGGCTGGGCCCAGGCGGGGGTGCTCGGGGGGCAGAGGCCGCCCACCCCTTCCTCGCGGGTGCATCCTTCTCGGCTCTCAGAAGTCCGTCCCGCAGGTGCAGCAGAGCCTCCCAGTCCTACTGGAGCTCTGGTCTGGAGACACTTTGCTCGGTGGGGTTCTTTGTTTTCAATCCGACGTCGTCCTTCCTGCCCGGCTCCCTGGGCGGAGGGGCGGGCATCCTGCTCTGGGCTTGTTCAAAAGGGACCAGCTCCACCTCCACCACCTGGAAAGGGTGCCCCTGCCCCTTTCCAAGCACCACTGCGCTCTCTCAGGGAAAAGAGTCAAAGGTTTCCCTCGAGGAGGTTCGATTCAAAGCTCCAGGGAGGTGCTAAACTGGAAGGTTGAGGAAACCCCAAGGAATTTGGCAGAACAGCATCAGGTTTTAGAAATGGAGCCCAATCCCCTCTCTCTGGGGTTTCCCATGGCGGCTTGTTGGCCAGGCTTTTGCTGGGGTGGTAATGAGAGTGATGGATGGTATTGACTCGCAAGTGTCGAGGAGATGATGAATCGCAGAAATTCAGGCTCGTGGGACACGCCCAGTGCTTCTGAAATGTGGGCCGTGGACCAGCAGCACCAGTGTCATTGGGGGACTTGCTAGAAATGCAGGCTCCTGATGCCTCCTCAGATCTGGTGGCTCCAGGGTGGGGCTCTGTGCTCTGTTCAGCCCCCAGTACCTGGGTTGTGGGGTGAACATGGCCCTAACTGCCCTGTGTCTCCTCTGACCTCCGTCTCTCTGACCCCGACCATGCTTTCCTCCTGTGGGTGTCCTTCCATCATGTTTCACACTTTTGAATAAGGTCATTTCTGGCCAAGGAATCCATAAGGTTAAACAGCTTGCTGCGTGGGTCAGGCAGGTAAGGGCGGGGAACCAAAGAGGATTGGGGGCCGAGAGGGAGAAGGGAGACCTGCTGGGCTCTGGGGACTGATGGGGAGGCAGGGTGTCCATCACTGCATCCTTCCAGAGGCCAGGAAGGCACAGGACGCGTGTGTGCACGTGTCTCCTGACACGGTGTGTGGATACCCTGGCCGTGTGCGTGGGCGTACATTGTGCTGGTTGTGTCCACGCTTCCTGGCTGGTCTCTGGCTGTTCCTGCTCGTTGGTGCCTGAGCTCTCAGTAGCAATCCAGGAAGAGGGGTGGGTGGAGGGAGAGGGCAGAGGACACGGCTGTGAGCAGAGAGCGGCCCGCCTTCCCTCATCTCAGACGCAGGTGGAACACATCCTCCAACAATGCCCTTTCTGGTGACTCTGCTCAAGGTACAAACACAGAATTAGAACATGCCCTGCCAGGGGCTGGTAACAACATGATTCAACAACCCAAGGAGGACTTCACGCTCTGCTGGGAGTTCAGCAGGCTGGAAGGCTGAAGGCTGAAGGCTGAAGGCCTGGGATGGATTAGAACAGGGACCAGCGAAGGGTGTTCCTGGGAAGATGCCCAGCAGTCTTGCTGACGGATCGTGGACGAGGGGGTGGTCCATGGTGCCAAGCGGTGCGTGAATGAGTGAGCTGGCCTGGGAGCCGAGGGGACCCCTGCCACCAAGCACAGGAGTCGGCTCTGGGCCCCAGTCTGTTCCCTGGTCAGGACGGTACTCAGTTCTCGACGGATGGTGGGAGCGGGTTTCTTGCATGTTCATAGGGACATGTGTGTCTGCAGCCCACCCAACACTGCGCGGCCGTCCAGAGACGCAGTGATCCCCTCTCCTCCAAGGATGAGTATGCTGCCCCCTGTCCTGCCCAGATGGGGGAGTCTCTGCTGCTGGAGCAGATCGAGTGCACAAGCCCCCCACCCCCATTTCTGACCCAGCTTTGGGGAGCACACAATGAACCACCCACCCTAGTGGACAGAGTCTCTCTCAGGACCCTCATGAGCCCAAATACGGATGAGCTCAGCCTGGAAGCTGCTGCCCCTCGCCCAGGCTCTTTCCTCAGGGCCTGGGTCTGCTTCTGTCTTCAGCCTTGTCCCAGGAGGAGGACAGTACAGGGCCTGCCTGCTTCCATCATGGAGATGGTGGTGGGGCAGTCCGGGGGTTGGGGCGCTAGGGAATGAGCATCTTAAAAAGCAAGACAAAGGGTGAAATAGAAACACGTGAGGAATTGAACGTGCGATGCTTGGGGGTGGAGCCAGAAAGTTCATCCGGAGGTGGGGGCTTCAGGAAAGTCCGATCAAGAGCACAGTGGACAAAACTGGGTTGTTAAGGAGCTGGCCACCTGATGGATCTGAAGAAAAGGCAGGCCCATGCTCAGAAATTATATTCTGATCTTCAGAACTTCATAGTTTGCCCTTTGAAGCAAATACAAGGGGAGAGATGCTACTATATGTTTCCATCAAAGTAGCTGAAATTTGCCTTTGAAATTGCTAAAAGATTATAGTACAGTGTATCTGCCAGTTCTTTTTAGCTCAAAGACTAACTAGTCTTTTCAGAAAAAGGGTAAAAGATATTGTCAGTCTTGACCAGTGGCTTTGGCCACTTCTGCCTTCGCCCCAGCCGGGAACCCCAGCAGCACTTAGGAGATGCCAGGTGTCTGACAATGGTGATACAGCCGTGACTCCAGCCAGGAAACTGCTCAGTGACATGTTATTGCCTGGTGGCTGAGCACACCCATGAGGAGCCCAGGTATATATTTGTGGAGGAAAAGCTACGGACACCACTGAGGTCGTAGAAGAAGCAGGGTTAGGGAAGGCAACAGAGAGAAAGTGCACTGTTTGAGGTGTTTCTCTAAGTAATCAGAGTCGATAAGGTGGCCAGTAAATTATATAAAAAATACGTTACAATATTCTGAGTTCATTCATCCTCCCTCCCACCCATCCATCCATCTCCCGATTAAAGGTCCGCTCTGCGCACATGCTGCTTCAGACCCTGGGGACACAGCCTTCATGGGACCGGAATCCTTCTCTTATTTCTTTCTCCTCCTCAAGATCAAAAATGCATGGATTAATTATTTGTGCCTGTGGGAATCTCTCTTTCACGATGTTCAGACCATTTAAATGCAGCCCCAGCCCTCGAAGACAGACATTAGTGCGATGAGCATGGAAAAGACAGACAGACCATGGAATCAAACGACCGAGTTTCCACACAGACAAGCCAACTAAATATGTATTCCATGTATTCAGCGCTGCTCCCAGGAGCCCCTCTGCAGTCCCCGTGCAGCAGCAGAGCCGCGTGGCTTCCACCCGCCCTGCCAAGTCTGGATCGTGTATTGTTGAAACACAGAGATTGGAGGGCTTCCAGGAGCAGGGGCTGCCCTCAGAAGGGCCCAGTGGGGCTCGAAAGCAGGGAGCTGAACATCACTGGTCCGCACTGTACGCGTGTCCAAGGCACGTGCATCATCATTTGAGCTTTTTTTACATTTCGATGAAAACAAATGGTGTGTTCCTTGGACGTACTCGTTCTCACAGCCGCCACACACCTGGAATGCCAAGACAGAGTTCTGGTCAGACGGCCAGAAGGACACTAGCAAAGGTTTTTCTCCTCGACTCCCTTCTCACTCTGGCCCCTAAGTGCCCGTGTTAGAGGCCGTCCTAACCCTACACCCCGCGGGGAGAGCAGACACCTCTCCGGCCCGGCACCTTTAGCCAGTTCTAACTCTGCCTTAGGGCTGTGGGGGAACAGTTCACTCGGCTGGTGAGGCAAGGCTTCAGGCACAAGCTGAGCCCCACATTGAGCACCAGCATCCTATCCCTGGGCCGCGCGGTGAGGCTGATTCATGGATCCTTCCAGGCTGCTGGGAACGACTTCCCTGGGCCGGTGCTGGGGGCCCATCTTCTCGTGTGCAGAGCCACACTCAGGAATCTGATCAGAACAAGGACAAGGGCAGGGATGTCTCCAAGGGCAGCCCATGAGCCAGGGAGCAGTCTGGCTGCCCTGCTGTCGGGCCCAGTCTGGGAGCGGCGGAGGCGCCCCTGGGGGCCCCATCCAGTGTACGGTGAGAGCACACTATTCTCAGAGTATGGCCCCAAGAGGACGGTGTTCCGTGAAGGTCATCCAGGGAGGCGGGGGACAGTAGACTGTCCTGTTTCCAATGACATCCCAGGTGGTAGCAGGGCAAGAAAGAAAGCCGCTTCCTGAAATTCATAAAAATATACATCCTTTGTAATTTAGATGTGATTCATGTGAGTCCATCTGACTGACCAAACTCACTCCCAGCAAAGAGGTCTGCAGGGGACTTCCACTGGACAGAGCTTTGATGAAAGGTTTATCCTCTCAAAAGATATACATTTCAGTTTTCATAAGGTTCTTCAGTGTTAGGGGTTTTTAACAAAAAATAAGGATATTAAGATATTTTTCAATATCTAGTCACAGCAGCCATTGATGGTCACTAAATTCGTATTCTAAAACTGACTTGCTAAGCATAATATTGGTTTTGACATACAGACCCGAAGTGGTGCTCAGGGTGCTTCAGAATGTGCCTGGTACAGGCACACAAACCGCCCCCCCGAGGTTAGTGGTCAAGAGAAAACAAAAATGCAGGCCAGAAGTTGGTAAGCGATGGTTCCAGCTGCACCGAAACTAGTCTGTGCCTCTACTCGGGGGTGAGATAATAAATCTGCTCTCAACAGCTGGCTGATGAGGTGAAAAGCCCTAATTATATGCTTGACAGGCCAGTTTTAAGGGGGAAAGCCTTTGTTTACCTTCTCAATTCCAAGCTTCAAATCAGCCAGTCAACTCTTGCATCTCATGTCAGTGACTCATGAGATAGGATAATGATATCCAGCATCAGGTCAGTCACTGTGTCAACAAAATTCTCTGAAAATAAAAGCATGTACACACACACATACATACACACACCAGGGGTACACACACACATCAGGCGCATGGATACAGACACACGTCCCCACACCACATACACAGGCAAGAAGAAACTGAGGACCCTTTCTCAACAGGGACATTCAGAATTACAGTCTCATTGTATTTGCTGATATTCAACACTTGCTCCA